TAGTCGAAACAACACTAATGGCTAGAATCGATTGTAAACGACTTTCTTCAGTAACAGAGTAACGTACACGTGAGAGCAACCGCCACATTGCGATCCGCTGAGTTTCTGCTCGATGTTATGCTGATTCGATAGGCTTCAGTCCTATACGACATTTGCATTTATCATCGTTTTTTCTTTCATCTTCTTATATTATATTCTTTTCTATAACTTTTTATATTTATTGCATAAGCAAAAACAAAAAATTTAACACAAGTTTTTTTTTCTTCTTATATATCTTCTTTATGATACTTGTTTCGTTATTATATATATATATTCAAAAAATAACAGACTATTTACAAATATTTGTCTTTTTTTCTTCTTTCATTTGTTTTACATCTAATATTATTATTGTCTTAGTTCAACATACATGTTGCATACATATAAATCATACTATCATATATATATATATAAAGTGATTGATAACAAATCATATCTGGATGTTTTGATTTTTTTCTTTTCATTTTATAAACACTTATTATTATCATCAACAAAACAAATGCTGATTCGATAGACTTCAGTTCTATAAACGATATTTGCATTTCACATTCGATTTCATTTCATTTCATTTTCAGTATATTTTTATGTTAGAAAAAAAAGAAATATAAAATGATAAACTTATATCATCATATAGACAAATATATATATATGTAGGATATACCAGCAAAAGAAATTATTTTTTTGCTTTTGAAATTATTTGATATTTTATTTCTTATTATTATTTATTTTCACTTGAATAATATCAATTAAAGAGTAAGTAAAAACGAACTAAAACAACAACCTACAATCATCACTAACACATACTTCTATATTCAAGAAAACCAAAACACATTCTAAGAATTTATATTCATGTTTTGTTTTAATACAATTTAACATTCAAATAAATTTCTTCATATTTAATACTTGATCAAATCTTTTCTTGTTCATCATCACATTTCTTAAGAAAACAAACATATATACATATGTATGATAAACAATATCAAAAAATTTATAAAAGACATGTATATATATATATATGTATCAAATAACATATATATATTACAAGATAATAATCATAAACATTTTTTTGTTTTTTTTTTTTCTTTCTTTGTAATTTTATCATATCCTAATTTGTTCTTGTTATTACTATTGCTTATCATATTTTGATTTAGAACAAGAGCATACAAACAAGTCAAATATTCAATATAAAACTAAAAAGAATATCTCGTCTTGTCTCATCTCGTCTAATAATCAAAATACATTATAAATTATATTCATATGAATGCACACACACGTAGACATTATGTTGATCATATATATATATATCTTGTTTAATCTTCAACATTGTTAAATTTTAAATTATTATTTCATATTCAATATAATTAATTTTTAAACTTTTATTCATAAAATCTACTACAAACTATTCAACATCTTCTCCTATTAACAAATCGATTAATTCAATAATCAAAAAAAATTTTCATAGATAAATTTTCGACTGTATAGAATTTCTTCATTATTGTTCAAAATAAAATCTTTTTGATAATAAATACATTAGAATAATATCTTGACATTGATAAATTATGATATAAAATATGAACAACAAAATAGATTTATGATATATATATATGAAAACTAAAATCAATATCATTCAATAAGCAAATAAATAAATTTATTTATTTATTTATTTATTTACAAATTATGTAAAATCAAATGAAATAATTCAATCAAAAAAATATATAATCAATAAAAATTTAAAAAAATAAAATACAATATTAGACTTTTCTTATATTAACTAATTCAAAACACATATGATTGATTGTTTGTTATTATTATTTGAAAAAATATGTTCAAGATTCAAACAATATGTGAAAAACGAAATACAAGTTAAATAAGATATCTGTTTAAAATAATAAAAATTGACAAACATAGGTGTGAACAATATGTCAAGATTTATTGAGATATATTATCGTTGTTCAAATTATATCATTGACTAGTCGAAATAAATAGAGCAAAAGAAAACAAAAACAACAACATAAAACTCTATACATATAGATCAAGTATAAAAATTAATGAGAAAAAAAAAAAAAATAATACTTCGCGAAACGATGATTATTCTATGACAATAATATAAGGGTAAAAAAAACAAAAAATATTCGAAATTAAAATGTAAAGAAAATAACTGAATGAAAAATAGTCGAATAATAAAAAGTGAATCAGCACAATTCCAATTCATTTGACTATTTTATCGGTTGTCAGAAGTGAACCAAACTCGACGTGAACCAAAGTCGAATCCACAGTCCATATTTCACCTATCTTGACTGATAATATGAGACAGCTATCGAAAGATGTCGTGCATGGTTGGATTGTTTTTCATTGTATCTAATATTTCATGTTTTCTTCACTTCTTTTCATTTTTACGGTTTTTTTTATTAGTAAATGATCGGTTGACATTGATTATGTGTTCTGAAATCCAGAAGTTGGAATTCAAAATATTCGATGAACAATAGCTCAATATCATACGATAAATTTCGTTAAATAAGAATCTCCTATTCCGAAGTATAGTAGTCAAATTTTGAATGCTTTTGCCACTTTAGTGTCACTTGTTAGTATTGATTCATAAATATAAATATCTATCGAATTTGCTTTGTGTTCGAAGATTTATTTTCATTTTATTTCAATAATAAAAATCGAAAATATACATTTATTATCAAATGAGTTATGAAAGAACAATATAAAAAAAAATTGCTATGAACATAAGTTTTAGTTACATAAGATGGTGGAAAAGAATTCAGCAACAACATTCTAGCGATCATTTTTCTGTAATGTTAGGCAAGTACTGTGAAGGTATAAGTATTTAACTGCGCATGATCGGTATGGGTGAATCCATGGGAAACGTACCACTTTATACATGACTTCCTCAGAATTCGCTGAAACTTTCAGAATTTGTAGAGCTCGATGAGCTGATCATTTTGATAATAAATTGTTATGAGTTTGATTCTGGATTAGAGTTGAAATGAACAAAATACAGTTTTCAAAAATTCCAGAAAATCATGGTCAAAGTAAAAAGTTTTGATTTTTTGCGAGAACGTTTTCTCTTTTATTTTAAGATCAAAATGAAACATTCTATACATATTTTGATAGCCCGCGCTCAGCTCTATGGAACCAAATACGAACCAAAACATTTTCATTTTCTAAGAAAAATTTTTAATCGGGCCACAATAAGTTCACTGCTACACAAACTTTCTCTCCTAATAAAAAATCTCTTTCAAATTTGGGTGAATTGTGATCTAGTAGGTTTTGTAGAGCGTCGCTTTCTCTACCTTGTGGTGTATAGAACTTCGCAGCCAGTTTCCATTTTTGCTCGTTAGAAGGTCAAAAAGTTTATCTACTACTGTTTTCTGAAGATTTCAGTTCATATTTCTGAACTTTTCAAAAGAAAGACTCAATAAAATAATCTGAAAATTTAAATTGAAAGAAATCTCAAGTATTAGAATAAAAATCATAAAAAACTTTATTAACTATTGTCTTGCCTTTCATATCATCCCACAATAGTAAAATGTCAGAAGTCATATTTGAACTCTTGATTGTTTAAATTTATCGCTTTCAATACAAAATACAGTTATAGTGTATTGAGATAACATAGGTATCTCAAAGGACTACTGATCTATTTCGAAAGATTTCGTTCACCTTCATCTCAACAGTGTAACTTCGATTTTTTCGAACAGTTGAATGCCGTCGTATATCAGAATCTAACACAAGTCAAATGTACCACTTATAATTGATCTCTTCCTCATGGCTTCTACTTTTTCATTCTGTTCCAAATATGTTTGAAAAGAAGTTCATATTTATTTTCATGAAATACATTCCGTTAAAGCTAGTATATTGAAGTAAAATCATTAAACACGAATCGATTTATTTTCTGTGAAGCACGTTAGATTCAAGGATTGCTGTCAAGTCCTTTTATTTTAACATCAACCAACAACAGTCACAAAGAAGAATAGTAGAATTAAACCAAATAAATATGTTGATCTCATGTCAATATTGATATTATTCATAGAGCACTAATATTACAATGTAACATTGATTTTTTTCCACATATCACTGTTCTAAAACATTCGAGTTACATTGCTGAAATGAAGGTGAACGAAATCTTCCGAAATGGCTCAGTATTCCTCTGAGATACCTATGCTATCTCAATATGGTATAACTGTAATTTCTATAGAAAGTGATAAATTTGAACAAACAAGAGTTCAAACGTAACTTGTGACATTTTACTATTGTAGGATGATATGAAAGGCAAGACAATAGTTAATAAAGTTTTTCATGATTCCTATTCTAATAATCGAGATTTCTCTGAGTTTAAAGTTTCAATTTAGTTTATTGAATTTTTCTTTTGAAAAATCCAGAAGTATGAACTGAAACCTTCAGTAAACAGCAGTAGATAAACATTTTGATTCTCTAATGCACGAAAACGGAAACGGGTCGCAAAGCTCCACATACCACAAGGTAGAGAAAGCGGCGCTCTACAAAACCTACTAGACCACAATTCACCCAAATTTGGAAGATATTTTTTGTTAGGAGAGAAAGTTTGTGTAGCAGTGAACTTATTGTGGTCTGATTAAAAATTTTTCTTAGAAAATGAAAATGTTTTGGTTCATATTTGGTTCCATAGAGCTGAGCGTGGGCTATCAAAATATGTATAGAATGTTTCATTTTGGTCTTGAAATAAAAGAGAAAATGTTCCCACAAAATTCAGAACTTTTCATTTTTGACCATGATTTTTCGGAATTTTTCAAAATTATATTTCGCTCATTTCAACCCTAATCAATAATTAAACTCATAACAATTTAATATCAAAATGATCAGCTCATTGAGCTCTACAAACCTTGAAAGTTTCAGCCAACTTTGAGAAAGTCGATGTAAACGTGGTACGTTTCCCATGGATTCACCCTGTTCTTTTCTATTTACATGAATAATAGTATTGTTCATTTATTTGTTGTTGGACCACATTTAACCTATTAATATTAGATAAGCTTAAAGAATATATAAACATTTACAGATAAGAACAAATTACTTACAAGATACACTTTTTCACCATCCTGCACGGTAATTTGTTCATTACCATTCACTATATTTCTCGAGAGTATTTTCATTGATGATGGTGGTGCTGTTGTTGGAACCTAAAAAGAGCAAAATGATAGATCTTTTTGTATACTAGAGTCATACTATGGGAATAAATTTCGTTACTGACTTGACTATAAAAAGTCATGATACTAATTGATGTGTCTAATAAATCAGCTAGTTTACATTTTGGCAGAGGCAAAGAGTCCGTATACGGATAGTTGTTATACGTAATGAAGTGATCTGCCTCTTTCTTCACTACATTGACGACGTTGCTGTACCGACTAATAATAAGAATAGCTGTTGCTTTGTAAGTGATCAGTTGACCACTTGAATCAGTAAGTTTTATTTGTGATTCAAAAACATTCTCAGGTGGCACATCACGATTTACAAATTTCTAAAATAGATTTTAAAAAATTCAACGATTTTGTGAAACACGATCTGAAAGGAGTGTTGAAGTGTATAGGATAGAAATTTTGGACCCACTCCCCCCAGACCGTGACAGAGAAATTCCATACCCATCACAGACCGTGACAGAGAACCCCTAGAAACCATCACAGACCGTGACAGAGAACCCCTAGAAACTATCACAGACCATGACAGAGAACCCCTGGAAACCATCACAGGCTGTGACAGAGAACCCCAGAAAGACCATCACAGACCGTGACAGAGAATCCCAGAAAGACCATCATAGACCGTGACAGAGGACCACAGAAACCATCACAGACCGTGACAGAGAACCCCAGAGACTATCACAGATCGTGACAGAGTCAACGCAAAACTCACCAATAATACAATAGGACATTGGTGAAAGATTTGTTTATATACTGGTAAATTAATATTTTTCATGGAATATTTACAATTTGTACAAGATTGTTCATCATCTATTAAATCATCATCGTCTTTCGAAATGACTGGATTAGCAACTAGTTGATTGTTCACGGTAAGTTTAAAAATAAAAATTTGATGATGTAATGATACGAGTGAATTTGGTGTTTGACGGCATGAAGGACAATAAAAGTAAGTAGAAATATCAGATATGAGAGTTTCTTTTAATTTATTAAGATCAGGATTAGTTTCAATTATTTGACATGCTTCTTGAAGTGTAATAGATATTGGTACATCAGGAAGTTCTAATGATGAAGAATCGAATGAACATCGAGCAATAACATACACCATGTTAAATTTTGTCTGGTGAAAGATTCGTTCAAATATCAAAATACCTATAATAAGAAAACAAATTCATTAATACTGTGCTGTAATCAGTTAGAGAATATCAGACTTCATTTAAGTTTTAAAAAGAGTTCAGAAGATCTGATGGAGCTTCAACAGCTCCTAAGGTTTCAATGGAAATTAAAAACTATAACCATCAGACTTTAAAATATTTAGTGAGATTATTATGAGACGGGCGATTATTTTGGTAAATTAATTAGTTTTGGCTTCTTATATCGATTGCTAAAAGTAGCTCTCACGACTAGAAGGCACTTGTCAACAGCCAAAATTTCCACTATTTCAAAATTCGATAAATTTGAGGACTTAACTGTATTAGGTCAAGTGTGGTGAAATGTCGACTCTGTTAGCAAATTCAGAAATAGAATTTTACTTACGACTAGATCCATATAAACGACGTAATTGTTCTCCATTACCAATTATTTTTTTATTAACACTGGTAGTCCAATTTTTTTTGGTTTTTGTCACTCGTATCATAACATTTTTATCACCTACAGCTAAAACACTGTTAAAGGTAATTAAATCATATAATGTGGAAGATGGAGCACCAATAGCAATCCAATGAGAGAATTCAGATACAGAGATAACACCTGGAGGTCTTCTGTATCGAAAAGTTGCTTTTGGATCAGTTATATTGATGATAAGAACCTGTGGCCATTGGATAACTTCTATATGCCGAACAGTTGATTTGCCACATGCTGAACATAATACATCCGATGTCATAGGACCGAAAAATGTGAGTAGCTCATGTTCGATGTGCAGGCCAGTTTTGCCAACATTTATTGGAATATGTGTAATAATCACTCGTATCTTTGTTTCACTTTTACATGAATGACATACGTATACTTTATATCCAATAATATTGCAATGAAGAAGTGGAATAAGAATATTTTCAAGTATATACATTGATTGTTCATTTGGTTCTTTAGGTTGATCAGTATTTGGTAAATTGAATGTAACTTTTGACATTTGATTAGTTCGTGTAGTTGATTTGCACCAATCATCAAGAAAAGTTTTTATCAAATCAAGAATAATTGGTATATTTGTTGGTAATATTGGAGGACAATTATAATACATTCCATAAGTTTGAGTAGAAAGAAGCATACCTATAGCAGTATTTAACCAGTTTGGAGTAACTATCGGTAATATAAGATTAGCATTTACATTGTTTGTTGGTACAATAAGTGATGACATTAATTCTGTGATAATAAAATCATCTGGAGCCTTGGTATAACGTCCAGAATTTCTTCGATTACTTGATTTTCTCCAATGTTCTTCTATTGGTTTTAATTGTGTTTCTTTTGAAATGGTAGAATTATTCGTACTATTGCTTTCTTCGATGGATGTTGTAGTATAAGAAAATAAAGCAGTGGAAAACTCTTGGATCATGGTCAACATGTCGGGTACCAAAATGGATAAAAGCACATCAAGTCGAATATGAATATTGCCACCTTCGAGAAAAAAAGGCGATTACATCAATTATGATGAATTAGAATTTTTTTTTCTGATTTTCATTATTTATTCCAATCATAAAAACATATTTGAATTGTTAAAAACAAAAAAAATACAGAGTATACCTTTAAAAATTCTACAAAACACATTTATTTTTAGTGAGTAGGTTACTTAGTTTTTTTTTTATATGGTAGTCAAAGAAAAATATTGATGTTACTATACTATTCTTTTTGAATAATCTAACACTTCAATAAACGAAGCACCTTCAATAGTTTTCAAGTTAATAATCTTGGACACTGCAGAAGCAATTATTGAAACTGACTAAATTGCTCGCAACTAGTCAGAATTTATATTACCACATTTCTATCAATAATGAAAAATGGAGTCTCAATATCTTATCGTAATAAACATCACTCATAGTTCGTTTAACAATGCAAATGTGAATTCTAGTTGAGTACACCATACACTATTTTACACTTTAGCAATTGAAATTTTTTTTCTACATTTTTTTTAGTGCCACAGCGTGTTCCTGTGTAGAGATTTGGAATGTTTTTCTTTTATTGGCGATCAGACAAAACATTCAATATCTTGATTGCAAAAATAACGAATAGGCAAAGTTGACTGTAAGAGGCCTTGTACAAAAAAACATTAAAACAACTGGCAACATATTAATAGAAATTGCAAAAAAAAAATGTAAGAAATAATTCTACATTTATACAGTTAACTTTAGTATTATGATGAGCTATATTTAGAAAATTATATTCATCTAATATCTGCTACAAATTTGCAAAAACATTTAGAATTTTCGTATTCTCATCAATTACATTTATAAATATCCAATTACAATTGTCAATCCAGTAAATAACTTTCTCATTTCACAATATAACAAGGAGGTCACTTATTCAACTGATAAATGATAATTTCGATTATTTTCCTATCTCACCATTACTTTTCTAGCATGATAAATCATGAATTTTCTTCTAGGTTTAATCTTATAAAGTATTTTGCATCAACTACTATCCTATTAATCACGGGATATTTTCATGTTGAGAAATTCACTATTGAAATAAATTTTACGTGCTTCATTTTACCGAGTTGTGCTCTTTTTAAAATACCCATACGACGTTCGCTGTTTGCCGTGGTTCGTTGCTCTGGCTCTTGAGTCATTAGATATTCAAATGATCTAACAAGTCGTTGGCGATGGCGACTAAGGTCACCTAAAAGAAAGGAACTATAGACGCTCATGAGATTTAATCAAAACCAAACAAACCAATAAGAAGATTAGACCAAATTGGTATGGTTGGTAAAAATGATGTTGTAAGGTATTTAAACCATCTTAAAATGCCATGGTGAGTACGTTTTCGTGCTTCATCGATAGAAATTCCAATATCCTTTAAGCAATCATCAAAAATTTTATTGAGAATTGATTTAAAAGGTGAATTTGTTGAGTTGGTTTCTGCTTCTTCATCAATAAAAATCTATGTAAAAACGAAATAAATATAGCTTAAAAAAAAAGACATGAATTTTTCGATAGAAGTACCGTATCTCAATATAGAAGAAATTGTACATTGAATTTTTAGGTGAAACTAATTTTAATATTATTATTATTTATTCATACAAAGTAATTGTCTTCTATTACTAGTATCGCTTATTGATGGCTTGCTCACGAGTAAGTCGTTCAAAATGAGTCCAATCTTCTGATTTGATATTTTGTCGATAATTAGAAGTAGCTGAGACTAGAAGGTATTCAAAAGAATCAGAACTGATATATTTGCAAAATTATAACGAATTTATTGAATTTCATCATGTATAAGATATTTAACAAAAAACAACTGAATAATGAAGTGTAGATATCATATTCTATGCATGTATAGGTTCCAAGTTCTTTTCAAGCATCCTAAAAGTTTTAGCGCAAATAAATGTTCATTTCCCAAGATAATGAATATACTAGAAAACTCGATTTTTCTCAACTCTCTGTGAAATACAGGTGTTTCTTGTATATTAATTGACTCGAGATGGGACATCTGTTTATGTTAAAACTTTTAGGATCTTCAAAAAAAGCTTGGAACCTATACATTGACAGAATATGAAATTTGTCTTTTCTTATTAAATTTTATTTGTTAAATACTGTATATGAGATGGAATGCACTAAAGGTCTTATAACTTTGCCAGAAAAGCACATAGACTATTATAGTTTTGAATACCTTCGAGTCTCAGCTGGTCGTATTGATGAGCAAAGTATTAGATCAAAAATTTTAGATTACTTTGAGCGATGTCCTAGTCTGAATGCATACGAACAGCATTCTCTGAAATCTTTTCAATTATTTATTACTATACTTCAAGACTTTGTGCTAACAATCAAGTTTTGCCACAAGACGAGAGATTTTTGAAGATTCTTATTAATGAAACAACTTACTTTGTCGTTTTTCTTTCTTGATGGAGTAGTTTGAGATATGTACGTGGAAAATTGTTCATTTTGTTCTTGATCCTCATCGATATCATCATAATCAAATTGACCATAATTTGCTGTTGAATTAGATGATTCTGGTTCAGTTGACTGCATAATACCACAAATATTTGGATCAGCTCGAATTTTAGTAATCTTGTCAAGTAAAGAATCTTGATATTCTACATTCATAGTTTCACCACCAATATGCATTTGTAGAAGAACAAAACATATAAGTTTCCAGTTGTGCATCATTTCTTTCCAGGTAGACGTATTGATAAGAAGAGCAATGCACCACATCGCCAAATTACGAATTTTTTCATCAAGTAATTTATTTACGATTTTCCTTACACTCTATATAAAAAAATGAGACATCATTCAGCAAGATAGAAAATACTTACTAATAAAACATGAGATAAACAGGCATGAATATTTGTTAGCTTATAATCGACCTCACTTGCTTCATTTGTAACAATACGATAAGCTCGATGGAGAAATTGGCTTATTGTTTCAGAATTCCATATTTGCAAAGCAGCTATTAAAAAAACCTGAGCGCGGTCACTTAAAACCATACTTGGCCGTGGAAAATCTTGCCCAGGAAAAACCTAGAAAATATACAATAATATTATATGTTAAAAAAATAGAGAAAATGTGGGGAATGAGAGAATAACTAGAAGATGAAAGAACTGAGAGAGCCAGAGAACAAGTGAGTGCGGTACGTGAAAGCAAATCTCACTGGAAGCAAAATCCACTTATGGACAACTCTTTGCTCCCGTAACTCACCTTTTATATCAGCGTCGTGGTACGGGAGTATGCGGAGCTTCCCAAAGAGCCATGACCCATTGACGTGTCTGTGTACACAGTGACGTGCACCATTGATCGCTTGTATGAAATAACTTGAGTAGTAGAATATTTACAACTTCAACTATTCAACTATTCAATAATTAAATATTCGAATTGATAGTTGAATAGTTGAATTCAACTTTCAAGTTTGATACTGCTGAAAGAACAGAAACAAATACAAACCTGCAGACTTCTGACTGATGTATGTATGTTCAATGACTGTTTCATGAGGCGTTAAATAGATTGTTCAATAGAAAAAAAAACAAAAAAAAGTTGAAGTATTTCACTTACTTTAGAATAGCTATGTCGAAACAATTGCATCCAATGTAAAACGTTCACTAAGCCATGAGCATCGCTTATCATAAATGTAATTGGAATAATACTATCTTGAGTTACTACACCTGGTAATGTCATACTTAATTCATAATACAGTAACTGTAAAGAATTGTTTTGTTTAATAATTGAACCAGTAGCATCCCATGAAACTACAACGTTCTTATGTTTTAGAAGAGCATCATAGAGACGGATTGATGATTCCGAAAATACAATAACTTGACATGGGTATTTACAAATTAATTGAATAGCACCTGGCACCTTTCCACCAGCATTAACTTCATTTCGATATTGTTCATTCAATTTAAGTAAACCATCATCAGCATCTGGTGAAAGTAATGATTCAGTGACAGCTTCAGACTTGATCTTTTGCAAAATAGCTCGACTTTTTCCAGTTGCATCATAATTTCGTCCTTGTCGTTCTTTAATTGATCGAGCTTGTAATCTATTTTGGTACATGCGATAAACTGATGCACCAACATTGAATTGCTGTTTGATTATTGAACGAAGTGGAGTACGAATAGGACGACATATTTTACTATTTTGCTTGTGCCGAACATTGTTGTTGCTAACAATAATATGACCACTTCCATCATTTCGAATAATAACTGAACATCGGAAAGGACATATAGGACGTCCAGAACATCGAAGATCACAACGTAATAATTGCTGTAATTCATTTAATTGAACACAAAAAGTACAATTACGAACACATAGTCCACAATATGGATTCATTTGTTTAAGATACGGATGAAGAATATAAAAGTATTCCACGTTAACTCTTGATGATTTGTTTGTTTTGTCATTTGTTGATTTAACTACAGCTACAAGATATATACAATAATCAAATGGTCTTTTGTAAAACCATTGAAAAAAATACAACAAGGACAAATATTTTTACTTTCAAAACAGTGGTGGAATCAGGAATTTTCTGTATGTTGAGTTTTAGTTTTAGAGCATTGTGCCTACATGAAACTTTTAGAGGATGATATTTGGATTCAAATGAAGAGTTTTGATCCAGAAAATTTTACAATAGGAGTTTGAAAAAAAATTTCTAAGCCTTCCTAGGCTTTTCTTTTGCTGTTAGTAGTATTTCAAGTTTTAGAATTGAACAGTAAGTTACACCGAAATTTATTTCAAAATATGCATTTGTTCAACAGTTGTAATGTTTGGAATTTTCGCTAAGACTTTAGCAATATATAGCAAACATTCAAAATTAAATGGAACTATAATGCAACAAAAATTTTTAATAAATTTTTAATAAATCAACGATTCATTTATTCTTGATACATTTTTTTTAATTTTGTTTTGTTATTTATTACTATAAGAGGAACAAGCAAATGTAATATATAGGTTATATTGATTGTGCAAATCATACCTACACAATAGCTCAATCAACAGTATTACATAGTGATACAGATGGTCTTATTATGACCAAAAATCAAATAAGAAATAAGAGAAAAAAAATTTCATCATCTTACAGTTGCTTTTATTCCTATTATGATAACAAAGACGAAAATAAAATTTAAGAAATGTATATATATATATGTGAAGAATAAACGAATTGTTGATGTATTAAAAATTTGATAATCATTTTTGTTGCATTATCATTTCATTTTATTTCGAATGTTTGCCACATGTTTCTCAAAGTTTAGCAGAAATTGAAGACATTACAATTCTTGTGCGAATGTATATTTTAAAATGAAATTTGAAATCTGTCGATCAAGCCAATTCGATGTAACTTATTATTAAATTCTACAATCGTTACTCTTAAGACTTCAAGGTGCTGGAATAAAAAGACAAAATTATTTTTCAAGTAATCTGATAGGCTTCATAAGGCAAGTATTGATTGCTATGTCTTGTCAGAGACGTATCAATGATTGAGGTTTTGAACGATTCTTCCCCTCGAAACATTTTCTTGTCTTGAATATTATATTTCTTGAGAAATCACATTAATATCAGATTTACAATGAACGTAATTATTTGTGCAAAATAAATGATTTCGAACTTTTTACATGTAAATAAACTATGGTCCCAAAAAAGATTATTTATTCTTAAGACAAAATCTTATGAAATGAAATCAAATAAATACCTATATCATGAGAACTATTGTCAATAATTTTGTTCATTGGTGTACTTTGTTTTGATAAAAAGATTTTTTTTGGACGAATTGTTTTTTCTTCTAAAGTTACACCCATTTTTTCAAAGAGTCGAGCTCGACGTTTATTGATTTTCTCAGTGCGTATTTTCAATAATTTAACACGATCAACAGGCTGAAGTTTGAATTCCCATGATGTTGGAAGTTCTATAACAAAATCGTCAAAATCTGAACTGATGATGGACCTATTTGATTGAATACCTGAAATAAAAAAAAAAATAATCAACACAGCAAGAATTTAAACATTTATTTTTCCATTAAGACTGAAAATTATCAGGTAAGACTACAATATTTTATGTTCTTCTGAAGACTAGTGACTGATCACAAAACATGTAACTATCTTCTGAAAGTGATTATGGCTATTTTTTGTTTTAAAAGACAAAATATATATGAAATCAAAAATACAATTCATATAGAATAATGCAGTTGGCAAGGACCTCAACAGATTTATGTCTAACTTTCACAAAGCGTTACATATTATGAAAGCTAAACTCATAACTTCTCTTGAAATTCTCTTGTTTATTATAATTTTACTTTCATCCTATGCCAAAACACTTTTATTGTATGGCAAATAAATTTAAAAAACCTTTAAGTGCTGCAGTCGAGTTCAATCCAAATTTTGTTTTAAATATGAATGCAATCATTTGGTATGTAATAAAATAGTTTCAGTTTTTTCGAAGTAAAAGGAAGTACTGTGTAGGCAGCATGTCATATAACGAAAGTATAGTTCAACTGAATGATATATATATATATATATGTGTATATGGGAAACATTCAAACATATTTTTTACGATATCTCAACTTCAACTTTGAATTGTTAACAAAATGTTTATACTTTTGTGTCAAGTAGTCTTTTAGAGCGCAAAATTCTTATAAAAATAGGTTAGATCATTTTAAATCAAACAAAAAAAAGCATTCAGCTCACTAGTAGATATATGGCTTTCAGATGTGTTTAAACGATTATCAGGTGAAGCATTAATTATTATTGATGATTCTGAATGTTGTCGATAAGATATTGATGATGAAAGTGTACCACCACCAGCAGTACTGTTATTATTCGTATCATTGAAATAGAAGTTTTCATTAACACGTAAACATTCATTATTAATTTCTGTTTCATTATTAATTTCTGTTTCATTATTAATTTCTGCTTCATTATTAATTTCTGTTTCATTATTTACATCGAATCTGATTTCAATGGAACTGTTCAATGAATATGTTGTTTGTTGACTAACATTGTTATCTAATGATTCATTCAGCATAGAAGAATTGAATTGATGTTTAGGAGAATGATTTGGTGATATTTCTAAATACAATAGATAGATAGTCAAGTTTTATATATCTTAAATCATACTTGCCTGTATCAGAAGGCATCAAAAGTTGTTCATTCAATATCATATTTTGTTTTGTTAAAACTTGTTTGTTAGAATTAATGATGGAGAAAGTATCTTTTTCAGAAGTCTTTTGAACATAGTACAAATAGAACAAATCAAGGAACAAATGCTATTTTATTACAATATCAAATTTATAAACTTACCAAATCTTGATGATTAGTGGTTTCCTTATTTTCGTGAGTTTGAAGTGAAGATAAAGTTGAAAATGGAGAATCTTTTTTTGATAATGATGTTATGTTGGAGTTAAGTATAATCTCATTGAAGACAAGCTTGTCTTCTGTTACTTTTGAATAGAATAGCATATATGCATCTTTATTAGTAAGAGCTTGGTTAATATCCACTGGTGTAATAGTTTTATCGTTTGCCTTATACCAAAGAGCATCAGGTGATCGAATGTAGGCATATATATGACCACTTGTTGTTTCTTCACCAAGATGGACAATGACAGCGTATAATTCATAAATAGAAGAAGTATTTTGACTATTTACTGTATTCGAATCGTGATTTTTTTTGTCAAAATATGGAGTCAGATCAAGTAATGCTGAATAAGAAATGAATGTTTTGATTTTACTAGTTGTATTTGTTCGTCGATCATAGACAAATCGTTTTAAATGAATAGTAATAAGAGGTAAAGCTTTAATTAAATGATAAGATTTTGTTGCTGGTACTAATTGATTACATTGTAAACACTGATAAGCATTCTTACCACATAATAATTCCGGTTTACAAAAATCAGTAAGAAATTGACAAAGAGTTCCTTGTGAATTGATGGAAATACTCCACATTGAATCCCAACATTCAGTTGATGTTACATTTCGACACCGGCTACAAACTACCAATGATCGCAATTGTACACCAAATAAATCTTGAATAACTGTTGACAAATAATTAATGTTTGGATTCGAATGGATGGGTGACAGACATTCGGTCATATGAGCAAGAAGATGGTGAAATAGTTCAGATGGATCTTCTTGTCGACCAATGACAAAAACAGAAGAAATTTCATGAATTCGACGAGCCAAAGGCTCAGCAGTTGCTTGTGACAAAGTTGAAAAAAGATCACAATGGTCGTTACGATTAGTATACATATGAATGGCAGTGAAAATAGATTGTAATTCACAAACAGAACAAAATCGATGATCAATCTTCAGTTGGCCTATTTCAAAGAAAAAAAAAGACGATAATATGAGATATTCCCCTAAATTAGAAAAATAATTCAAATTTTATTCCTTGTAACGCTTGATAATGTCGACTTGTATAAGAACAAGATTTTTTGAACAATTGAGCTCTATTTTATACAAATTCAACAGACTTCATACTGGATTTCTGAATATAATTCGGATATGATGAATATCTAAAATTTAAATCGACTCAAGCAATTCGAATCTAAGCTATTCATTTTACATTAAAAGTTTTTTTATCTTAACAAACATCGCTAAGTTTATTAAAGTCGTATGCGACTACAGAATCAAAGGTCAGATAAAGAAAAAATCATTGTTTACATCTAGTATTGTCTTCTGCATGAACCTGGAACTAACCAAAAGAAAACTCTAGGAATAGATTCCACAGGCCCTATGAGGAGCAACTTGTAGTGTGTGCTAAATTTACTTTCGTCAACGTGATGAAATAAAAAAAAAGCTAGTTTTGCATCTAATTCCTTTTTTCCATAATAAGGTGTGCTGTCAGTACATGACTAATTGTGTTACGGCTAAATGTCATTACAAGAAATTGTCTTACGATAAGTTGTCCATTCGAGTAGTTGTCTTAGTACCAATAATTAAGTACTCATTCTAGTTATTTTCACTAAAATATCATCGTGTTTGATAATATTCACGTTCGAAAACAGCTCGAACTCAAGCTTAACAACTTCTTTCATGGGAAACATACGTACATTGATCATCATTAGCATCACAAAGTAACCATTGTGCAAATGGAGCAGTATTGGCTAAACATTGAATTATGGCATTCAAATAACATATATTTTGTTCAGTTTTTTTTCGTCCACAATTTTCAAGACCGATACCATGTTGGTTTAAATAAGTCCAATTCATCAAGTCCGAAAATGAAGATATTGAAGTTCGATGATATGGTCGCATTGAATGTTTATTAACTGTTTGTTTATCATTGGTAGAAATCGTTAATGATTCAGAATGAATATTTTGTTCTAAAAATTAACAGAAAAGATAAATGTTCCTATAAAGTTATAGGTACTCCAAAAGGTATATAGACATCCAAATATTTTCTTTTGTATTTCTTGATTCGCAAAGAAAAAGCAAAAGAAAAGCTTTTTCTTTACTGGAATACGTACCAACAAATACAGCTCACTTTGCTCTCTGCAGTAGTGTGCAATTAATATAATTCTAATGTCAGAAAAGCGAGCACATAACATATAGGAACATCGAACACTTTCACCAGAAACGTTCTCGTTATTCAAGATGATAGTCAAAAAATGCCGATTTCTATAGACAACCTAGTTCGAAGTAAGAATTATCTATTAATGAAATAGGAAAAATTTTATCTATTGTTCCTGCTTCGCTAACCAAGGAATACTGAAAAACATGCGGTTGTTCCGACACTTTTTGGAGTTCCTGCATATCAGCTAACTCACGATGACTTTGTGCATTTCCAAATGTACTTTCTGTTTGTGCTGGTATTACATTTTGACTTTCTATTTGATATGAATGTATTGTATCCGTTGATGGACATATGTTGGTCATATAAGTACTAGATCCTGCATCATAGAAAAAAAAATTTATAAAAACCAAAGTATGTTTTACAAAGAGAACTCACTTTTTTTGGATATTTTGGTTGATAATGTGATGGAAGAAAACGATTCCTTGCAATGAAAAGTATCATCAACAGCAGTATTGTTGGTGGCTGCGAAAGAGCAATAGAAAACATAGAAAGAAATGAAAATAGGTAAATCTTACAACAATGTTTTGGAATATTTTGTTCATGAGTAAATAAATAATTCTCGATTGATTTAAGTGGTGATTTGGTAGAAGTCGTCGTTTTCACGGAAATCTAAAGTAACGGTGAATGACGAAATCTACGAGAAAATGCATTTACTGACCATACGATCGATAGATTCAAACAACTGTTGACGATGTTCCTGTTGAACTTCTCTGAGTTTGTTGTTCATTTTTCGAAGAAAGTCATTAGCCAATGTTTTGATGTCCCTTGGATCTTGAAGTTGATGTATAAGATAAAACGGTACATGGTTAGCAACAGATACTAAGGATGAATCAATTCCTTCCTCAATTTCTTGCAGGCATACGTGCAGAGTACGTTCCAATTTCGTCGAATCTTCAATACCAAATCGTTTATCAACATCTGATGGATTTCCATAAATATCATAATAGATTTGTTCAGCTGAGATTCTGTGTAGATGAGCCACTAATTCTAAAGCAAGACCATGTCCATCTTCATTCCATGCATCCCAGATAGCTGCAGCTCGATTTTGTACACGTTGAAATTTACTTGCTAGTAATGGACTATGCTTATTTCCGGTAACAGTTCGAATATTGACTCGGTGTGACATGGTCACTAATTAAAATTATCTGAAGTTGAAAAAAAAAGACAATTGGTGAAGATATACTATGATAGGTTAATATAGATCAAATACTATATCAAATAAATACAATCTATGATCTAATTTCATCATTTTCCACAGACTAGATTCATTGAAACATACATGTAGTCTTTCTTTATAAAATAAAGATAAGATAGAGAGAAGCATTTTAATTTAAAGAAATCAATTATTTATTTTCATATAAGAATGGTAAAATGGAAAAATCTAGGCATTTAAGCAACAGAGTGGCCACATATGAACTGATTTTTCTGTATGCAAAAATAAGAAATTATCCAAAATAGTAATATTAAATAAAAATTTATTGTAGGCTTTTTAAATGCACTTTTGAATCTATGTACTATTTGTCAGATATTTAAAACTGAACCTGTCCCGTCAAAGTAAGCAACTCTTCGACATAGTTAGCGCACTTAAATATAAAATATAAATTCGAACCAAAGGTTCATCGTGGATTCAGTTGTTGATTTTGAGCACCGAAAATAATTGTAGTAAAACATGCAATTGACTTGTAAAATATGAGCAGGATTAACAACTTATGATGTTCAGTATGAGAGAAGAATGCATCTATTTTTCTACTCTATGTTAATTATCGTATTACTCAATGGAAGAAGTCCTAATATGAACAGTAAGTCACTTAGCAGTTTCATTTAAGTATATTTAAATGGCGTTTTTTTTTCATAATAGATTACTTCACGTAATAATCATGCCAGTACCTGTTTTCTACTGTTTTTCGAAGATAAATAGATTATCTAATTTTATGTTATGCATACAAAAGTTCTCCTCTTTACTTATGAAGGACACTCAAAATTAATTAACAGTCTGATTTCTTGCTCGGTTCTCTAACAAGAAAAGTTTTGGTATGTTGTTCCTATTCTGAATGGATTCAAACTTGTAAAAAATACAGTTGCACTTAAACAGGCATCAATTTTGACTTTTTATATTCGAAAGAAATCAAATGATTATTTCCTTAGCTAATTCACTAAGTCTGATTGTATTCATAAATCTCAAATTTATCTAAGTTAATGGCAAACAAATTCCTTAATCATGAAGAATATTTTGACAACTTTTCAAACAATTTGTAGTAGACACTAGAAGCATGTGCTCTTTGAATTGGCTCTTGTTCTATTTATTATCTTCTTATTTGTCCTCACTAAAAAATTGGACATTTTTCCAAACTTATGATCACTACCATATAGTATTTAAAATCAATTATAAATTTATTTTACATAAAATGAAAATAGAAAGAGTCAGTTTATTTCTATATGGTTTTCTATGGAACGTTACACAATCACCCTGAATGACATTAAACAATTTTAGTTTTATCGTTGTGGTGCCAAGTATCATAAAAAATAAGTATTGTTTATTATGAGTACAAAGATTGCAAAAAAGAATAATAGCAGAAGACTAAATTAAATGAATACAGTTATAAAAGTAATGATGAAAATGATATTTAAAAAATTAAATTAAATGCAAAATCTTATAAATGAAACTTCGACCAGTAAACGTATCTCATAAGTAGTTATCTTCCAAGTTAAGCAAGCTCGTACTCTTAAGAAGCGACTTTTGCTAGAGATACATGTACCGTAAGTGAATACTACCTTGGTGTAACTTGAACATTGTCGTTACAGTCTCAGTTGTTCTTTTAATCCCTTTAAATGAATAATCGTACACTTTTTACCTTTCCTTCTTTATCTTTTCTGGCTGCTGCATTAAAAATACTATTCATTATTTGCTATAGATGAGCACACCAACGAGAGTAATGACTTCTCAACATCATATCATTAAGTGAAAAAAATTCAATTACTTATTGATAAAAATAGTGTTTACCGTTTCTCACAAAATTGGTTAGCTGAAAAATTGAACATTTCATCTGCTTCTATATCCAATATTTTAAAACAAAACAGAAAAATAATTAAGTGGCTTTCAAATAAATCAAAAACAAAGTATTAAATAAAAGATCGAAAGTTTTCACATTGTAAAATTTGATAAATATATTTTTGATTGAATCATTGGAGAATGTTCATCAAATTCATATGTGTCAAGTCCAAAACAATAATACATAAGTTGTGAATTATAAAAAGAAGTTTTGCATTCTGTTAAAAAGTTTTTGGATTCTTCAATATTCGAGGAAAGAAAGATGAATACCACAGGCAATGATCATTGACTATTTCAAAACTAGTAAAGAAGCTACTGTTTTGAAAATTTGTTACATCTAGCAAATTATAGGATGCTTCCTTTAAATGAATATCTTTTGAAACTGAACATTTCAGAATTTCTAACGATGGTCAGTTGGAAGAGATTTCCTGTAGTTCACTTTCTTCAACTTTAAGTTTATTAATGTATAAAAAAAAAATACTTTCGTATTTATAAAACACAAATTTTAAATACAGATTTTATAACACTTTTTATAGAAGGAAATCTAGTGGACATATGTGCTGATGCATCAACAATAGTGGAAATCTTGAACATTGCTTCAATAAGTAAAACTATGGTAAGAAAAAGACTGATTGTGCACTTACAGAGATAAGACTAAAAATACTTACATTAACAGAAACAATACAATATTTATTTTTTGTTTGAAATTCTAGAGAAGTCACGATTATATCAATATTTCATATTCAAAACTGATCAGCATTCATAATTTTCGCAATAAAAATAGGCAGCTTTAGAACATTTTGTAAAGCAAATTATATATTATATATTGCTCATAATCTTTCAATTCGAATGCATTAAAATAAGTAAGATGACAAAATAGGACAAGAAATTTACTTACTGAAGAACTAGTACAGAATTTGGTACACCGACAGTTTTTGTTCTTTGTTTGAAAAAATTTACTTCATCTCTCTCAAGTCGATATATTATGATAAGCATGCCTGAAAAGTCTTGATGGTGTTAACAGTGGAGAATGAACTTATAACTTGTAACAAATGCAAAAATGCAAAAATGCAGCAAAATTTAACACACATGAGCGCTTTTGCTTATATATGAACGTGAAAATTTTTCACACTATCCTCTAAGTTTAAAATTAGATAAAATGAACTCAATATTCTTTCAGCTTAAAATTAGGTAAAATATTATGCTTTTTTGGTCGAGAGTAGCTGATAAACTTAAATTTGATAACGATCAGAATATTGCAAAATAAGCACGATATGTGAGCATGCAGCTGTATGAATTCTTACGACATAAATGTTGTTTTAAAATTATTCTAAGATTCAGTCAACATACAATTGGCAGCAATTAATCTCGCCACTAATATAACTTTTAAAATCTTTTCTTCATTGACAATGATTAATTTTTATATCTGAAAACAAAAAAAAAATAAGTATCAAATAAGAGATTAGATGTAAATTTGAAGTAGAATCATATTATTCTTGTCGATAATATTCGAAAATCACCGAATTATACAACAGTCTCTGAATTAGTTCAAAGTTTGCACCTGAAAAAAAAACAGAAAATTAAGAAACCAACAATTCATGTTTATGATGTATATTGTCTGTTATTCTATTATGTCTCTATCGCGTTGAAAAAGAAAAATATCATTTTGGATGGTTGTAAAACATGGACTTTTCATCTGATTGGCTTATAACTTCTATATGAAATGAGCCTATTGACTTTGGCTCACATGTTTGGCTCACTTCTGTGGACCTATTTTATCTATCTATGACAAATGAAAGAATATTAAAATAAAATATAATTTTGAATGACATCTATAGAAATAGATAACAAATGATTTGACAGATAATCATTTATTTTAAATAAAAACAAGAATAAAATGAAACAAAGAAATAAAAAGTAATGATATAGATGTAAAACATATTCCGAAAAAATAATATTAATTATTTATTTCATGAGAAGAAAAGAAAAACAAAATATGATTATATCATTTTCATAAAATAGATGTCCATGGATAACTAAATATTCAATTTTATATAAAATAGAAGTTAAAAGAAAACAAAAAAAAAAACCTATTTCTCTTATCGAAAATACATGAACAAAAGAAAAATGTTTCACTTAATTTCATATATTATATGAAAATGAAGACAAGAAAAACAAATAGCTGAATATGATAAATCGAATAAGTAAATTCATTGACTCAACTTTATATCGAATATGAAAATAAAAGAAAGAAAAAAAGAAATAGGTGAATGTAATAAATCGAATAAGCATATCGATTGACTCAACTTTATATTTAATATAAAAATGAAGGTAAGAAAAAAAAAAAA